CGGCTAGGTGGAGGGAGGGGCGGGCGGGCGGTGTTGGTGGAGGAGTTGGAGGTGCCTGTGGCGTGGGGAGTCGTCCGTCGCGGGTGGTGGGCGGCGGGAGGGACGGCATGGCAGCCAGTGAGCAAACAATGGGGCGCAGGGGCGCTAGGCTAGCGATGAGAGACAGACAGACAGACAGACAGCTGCTGGACGGGCGGGCGGGCAGGGCAGCCTCCACTTCCATTGTGGTGGCGGTCATGTCTGCGGCTGCGGGGCAACCAGCTCATCAAGCTGCCTGTGCTTCCTTGCCTCACTGCTTACACCAACAACAGCCAAACCGTCCCAACACCGATATAAACACTAAGCAAAATCGAAACTACTCAAGAAGAAACTCCTCTTCCATCGCAATCAGTATCTCCTCAGCCAAATTGATATTTCAAATTCGTATTTCATTCCCTGTTTCTATTCCAAAGGAGGGTATATAGCAGCAACAACCGCATCGCATTAATCCAACCAGTCCCAAGTCATTTACGTCAATCTCAATCATTAAAAGCGCATCCGCGGCATGTGTTGCCGTCCTCATCGTCGTCGGACCAAAGCGCAGGACCAAATTCCTTTCATCTCATCCCTCACCCCTCACAGCAGCACCGCGGCCACGCCGACGCTGGCGCCAAAGGCCATGAACAGCGTGGTGAAGAGGTCCACCTGCGACCACAGCGCGCTGGCGGCAGACGAGCCGCCTCCGCCGTTGTTCCCGCTGCCGCCGCCGCTGGCCGTCGTGGTGGTGGCCGCCGAGCTGGCCGAGCTGGCCGTCGCGTCGCCGCCGCCGCTGTCGGAGCTCGCGTCCGTGGGGCTCGGCCCGGCGTCGGTCGTGTCGTCGGCCGCCTTGGACGCGTGCGACGTGACGCCCGTGAGCGAGGCGAGCGACGTGGCGGCCGCGGGGGTCGGCAGGGACAGCGTCTGGGAGACGGAGCTAAAGTAGGACGAGGCGGCGCCGCGGTCCGTGGTGCGCACGCTGAGCGTCGTGTACGTGGTGCGGCGCGTCGACGTCACGACCGAGGCCTCGATCTGGTAGCTGTAGGTCCAGTAGTAATAGTAGTAGTAGTAGGTGATGGTCCAGTAGTAGTACTGCGAGTATGTCGTCGTGTAGGTGCGCGTCGTCGTGCTCGTCGTCGCGTACGTCGTCTTGCCGTCGCGCACCACGGCCGTGCACCGCGAGTTGGTGCAGCACACGGGCCGGCTGCCCAGCGAGGGCACCCGGTAGCAGCGGTTGCCCGGCTCGCAGTAGCTCTCGTCGCTGCAGCAGTCGCCGCCGATGGGCGAGCAGTGCGAGCGTCCGCAGCAGAGCTTGTTGCCCTCGCAGGGCCCCGTGGGACAGCACCGCGTGTTGGGCGGCAGGCAGTAGCCGTACGAGCAGCAGCGGTCCGACTGCGGGCAGCACCGTCCGAAGCCTGTCACGTACTCGCTGGTCAGGTCTCATTCTCTCACTCTCCCTCACGTCTCATCGTCACCAGGCGCGGACACTCACTGGAGCAGTAGCCGTAGCCCGTGTTGCAGTACTGGCGGCGGTTCAGCAGCACGTCGAGGACCGTCCGCGCCGTCAGCTCCTGCGTCGCATCGCGCGCGCGCACGTCGCCGCCCTCGCCGCCGGCCGACTCATTGTGCGAGTTGGGCGCAAACTTGGACTCGAGCGACAGCTTGCCGACCACGTCCTCGACCTTTTCGTACGTGCCCGTCCGGCCCTCGAGCTTCTCGTCAAAGTTGACGATGAGGGGCGAGAGCTTGGGCGCAGGCTCCGCCGACACGACGGCGACGAGCGCCGCCGGCGCGAGCAGGGCCAGGTAAGAAGACGGCCGCATCCTTTCCGGCTAGTGATTGGGGAGGCTGGTCTGGTCCTTGCTTGCTTGCTTGCTGGCTGGCTGGCCGAGCTCACTCAAGGATCTGAGGTCAGAAGCTTGTCTCTGCTTGCAGCTCGCTGCGACTCGAGACGACGACGAGGCTGGTGAGCAGCGGCGAGGCAGACCGACGCCTTCTTATGCATCTGCGCAGGGCACACGCCCCCTCATGGCCTGGCCGCGAGCCCCCCCGCCGCCCGCCTCTCTCTCTCGAGAGGGAGACGCCAATTGCCGGGAAGCATTATGCCTCATCCGCTCTCGGCAAGGCAAGGCAAGGGCCGCCGCCGCCGTCCATCAAATTCAGCCTACGGGCTTGCTTGCTTGGGGCCGCGGGCCTTGTCCCCTCCCTCCTCAACGCACGGAGCCCAAAGAGCCTCACCCGACGAGGCGGGTGGAAGCCATTCCCAAAACCGCACAAGCGCGGCAGACAAGCTCCTTCAGCTGCCAAGGGCCCCTAGCCGCGTGCGGGAAGGGCACGACACGGCTGCCGGGGCCTCGGGGGCAGATGTCGACGTAGGTGGTCAGACAGGCTGGCAGGACTGGCAAGGCTCGTTTTTCGCGTGCAAGGGCGGGCGTTGCGCTGGTCGACGGGGCACGAACGTCCTGGACGGTGAAGGTGGGAAAGTGGGTTGTTGTTCGGCCTGGCGTTTGCCCGCGCTTACCCCTCGGCCCCGAAAAATAAACGTTGTGGGGACGGGTTTTCGTAGCGGCAGGCAGGCAAGGCAGTCGCGTGTAAGTCGCAGTTGCCTTGCCAGGTGGTTAAGGTTGGGCGACTGCCGGGGAATCGGGATCGACCTCGCTCGTCAGAGCCACAACGGCGGCTCCTCCCTTCCTTCCTCCCCCGCGCATCCCTCCTGTCACGATAACTGGAGTCCATTCACAGAGTCACGCCGTTGCAACTCTCATCAACCCGTAGCAACAGACACTCACTGGCTGTTGCGCCTCGCGATACCCCTCTCACTTGTCGCCGCCAACCGCCCTCTCAATTTCCACCACTGTCTTGGGTCCTCTTGGTTCTCTTGGAACCTTCTTGGCCCGGGGCTTGGCTGGGCCTGTCAAACCCGGAGTGGCGGGATAACGAAACGGGCAACCTCCTCGGAGATGGGCACGCGCTTGGCGAAAGGGGACAGACAGGCCCGTTGTGACAATGCTCTTTGGTCTGGTCATTTCTGCCTTGCTGCTCTCGTAGCGACAGTGTGTGTGTGTGTGTGTGTGTGTGTGTGTGTGCTTCGTACAGTATGTAGGTCGTCATGCGGATCCCTCTTCCCCCGTCGTGTGTATCCCGTCTACTCTTGTGCTCGTGCTTCTCTCAAGCCGTCAAGACATTTACCCCGTACTCTGGGGCCCGAAGCATCCATCAGACCGCCCCGTCGCAGTACTCGATCCGCGTCTCGTCCGTCCTCGCCGACACGCCCCAGCGGTAAAACACCTGCACCCGCATGCCGCCGTACCCGCACGCCTGGAAGCCCGTCACGGCGTACAGCTCGCCCGTCGCGTCGCTCGTCATGTACAGCCGCCGCCCGCCCTCGCCGAGCGCCAGGCCCACCGGCCGGAAGCAGCTGCCGGGGCACTCGGCGTTGTCCGCGTTCCACATGATGCGCTCCTCGGCGTCCTGGCTGTCCTTGGGCCGCGCCGGGAAGCCCTTGCTGTACGACACGCGGCTGAGCCGGTACCCGTTGGGCGGCTGGCGGTTCCTGGTGAGGGGGCGCAAGCACACACGATCAGCATCATATCATCCCACGCGCCGGCATCGTCGAGGGTGTCGAGGGTAATAACTCACCAGCTCCCGTGCATGGCAATGTACGCCGCCGAGCCGTCGTCCTGAAACTCAATGTCCAGCGGCGCCAGGTGCGACCCAAACGTCACGTACGGCGACACCGTCTCCTTCTGGCAAAAGTCGTCGGTGTAGTTGCTCGGCATCTGGTCGCCCACCATCTGCTTGCCGGTCACGGCGCCGCCCGGGTAGTCCTTGACGTTGGAGCTGTCGTAGATGGCCACGCAAGCCGGGTAGCCGTAGTTCTTGCCGTACACGTCGCTGCTCGTGTCGTTGGGCAGCCCGTGGAAGTTGAGCTCCTCGCCCGGGTTGGAGTTGTGGATGTCGTCTCCGCCGCGCTTCATGTTGTCGATGGAGTTTTCGACCGACCACTGTGGACGGGAGAGGTCAGCTTCACAGATCGGAAAACACGCATCGCACATTCTCCCCCAAGTGCCCGAGATCGTTGTCATACAATGTACCCCGTCGTGGGGTCCTCGGCCACGCCGACGCTGTTCCTAAGCCCCCAGCCCAGCACCTTGCCGCTCGCGTACTCGACCGCCGCGTTGCCCTCGAGCAGCTTGTCCACCTCGAAGATGCGCAGCTGGCTCCGCGCCGAGCCAATGTTGGTCGTGTCGGTGTCGATGTTGCCGTCGGACCCGCGCGACACGACGAGCAGGTTCGGGTTGTGCTTGGGGATGAGCAGCGTGCGCGTCGCGTGCCCGCCCTGGTCCATGCCCGTGATGACCTTTTTGCCCGTGCCGGCCGTGCCCTTGGCCGCGTCGTACGAGTAGGCGTAGACGTCGGTTGACGAGGACGCGAAGAGCGTCTTGCCGTCGCCCGACAGGGCGATGCCGTGGTTGAGCTGCGAGCCGAGTCAGCGAGCTCCGGACTTCAAGACGGCGATGGCTATTGGCAGAAGCATATCACGACAATTGACGCTTACCGAAGACTCGTCAATGAGCTGCGCGCTCTCCTTGACGCACACGTCGACACCCACCCCGTCATCCAGCACCACCCTCCGCACGCCCTTGCCGCCCTGCTCCACGACCAGCAGGTTGCCCTGCGCGTCCGTCACGACGCCGCGCGGGCGCGCCAGGTCGTTGAGCAGCACCTTGTACGCGACGCCCGGCGCCGTCACGGGGCTCGACGTGGGCTTCTTGTCGTCGCACTGCGAGGCGGCGGCGGCGGGGCCCCCCGCCAGCAGGAGGAGCGCCGTGGCGGCGACGACGCGCAGTAGAGGCGCCATTGCCCACTACCTACTTATATCGATCGATCGCCTTTGTGCAAGTGGACGAGCGTTGTGTGCCCCCCTAGCGGGCGCTCTGTGAGCAGCACGGCTGTGCTGGAGAGAACGTCGGTAGAGCAGTCGAGAAGGAGTAGTAGCAGTAGAAGCAACACTGTACGTATTTGTCGAGGTTCTGTGTGTGCGGGGGGATAGAGAGTCTCGGTCGCCGACCGGCTAAGGAATGGGAAATGTTGCGAGGGGCGCTGGGCGGTGGGCGCTGGTGCTGGCGGCGGCTGATGACGATGACGACGACTTACACGGATATAAGTGCTGCACCACCACCAATGCGAGACGGAGAGAGCGGGAGGACTGGAGAGGGCGTGGAGGGGGAAGACGGAGGCGCAGGGCCGTCCGTCGTACAAATAAGTACTCACTCACTCGTAGGCTCCGATGGCTCCTGACGTGGGACGGAGAATGAGAGACACGGGTGAAGGATAGCGCGCTTGACGAATCTCTTCTGTCTTCTCCCCTTTTTATCTCCGATGCCCGCAGGTCAAGGGCTCGGACGACCTACCCAAGGCGGTTTCAAGACTTTCTTGGCCCGCATCTCGAGGGTGCTGTACTAGGTATGCGTAAGGTTCTTGTGCGTGCGTGCTTCCGCAGAATGCAACCCCCAAGAGCCGATCGTGCCCCCCGCGCCGCCACGACCCTTGCTTGCTTGCTTGCTTGCATTCCGCACGAGGGACCTTCCCCCCTCCTCCTCCCCAAAACGTGTGTCGTCACCATATCTGGCTTGTCTGGTTCGCGCGCTGGGGCTGGGGCAAAGCTCGGCTGGCTGGCTTCCCTCTCAGTCAGCCATTGTCCATCTCATCCCCCCCCGCGCCATCCCATCCCATCCCATCCCGCAATTCCCATTGCCATCCCACATCGGCCCCCGAACACCTCCACTACCGAGTCCATCCACCCATCCACCCATGGAATCATGGGTAGCTACATACCGTATGCATCCACACGTCCGTCCGCCCCGTCCCGTCCACCCAAGCTCCCCCAATCGTCCGCGCACCCGCGCGCATCGCACCGCATCCCATGCCGGCAAAGGCATCTCCCATCTCCCATCTCTCTACCTTTTCCTCCCGTTCTCCTCCTTTCCTCCCTTCCCCCCACCTAAATATTCCTCCCCCCTGCCTTTGCGCTTTCCAGTCTGCGGAAGGTGACTTCCGGAGTTTGGTTTTAGCCAGCTCGCATAACCGTGTTCCTCGTTGCTCCTCGTCTCCCCCGCACATACCTCCCCCGAACCGTTTTCAAGTCCCGCGCCCACATAAGGTTTCAACTCGCAGCATCTTGTGCCCCCGGATGCTGCGCAACGTCCTGGGCACTCTCTACGGACCCACGCCAAGCAACGGCGGTGTCATCGTCCCGCTATCATTATCGTCGTCGACAACGGTCAGCTCCATCGCAGCGTTGACAACGCCGCCGCCCGGGCCATCCGGC